GGGGGGGGGGGAGGGTTTCTAATGGCACAGATTGTATGAATTGATTGATCAACAGTCGATTTTAACATATAAATTTAATTTTTGTAAAAACACAGTTGTCGATAAATGATAAATTTGTTGATTATTTTGATCAAATTCCTCCTAATTACAGGCCTACATATACAAACGTACAATTACATATCTTTCAGTAAATTTACAGGGTTTATATTTTTATAGAAATAATAATTTCAAAAATTAGGATTTTTAACTGCCAAAAATACCGATTTATCAGAAAAAAAAACTTCAGAAGAAAAATGCTTTTAAAAGGCGAAAAGTCTTTAAACGGAAAAAACTAAATCACATTGTTACAGGATTGGATAATGGATATCTAAAGTAAAAAGATATTTGGCATTATTTGTGTATTTGATAAATAGATATAGATTATAGACAAGCTATAATCAGGAGAGCATACTCACAAGCAACAAGAGAATTTACTACAGTAGGTCAAATCCGCCAAATGCGTGAAATCCGACAAAAAAAGTTTCGGGGATTTCTAATGAACAAACAAGTTTTATCCTGATTCGGATTCATCCAGAAATGGAAAGCTAGCAAAAACCAAAAATCAATAGATAAAACATTAATCAATAAACGAAAAATCAAATGAAAAAATGTCTTGTACTGTAGTTAAAACTCGGGTACCAGTAGAGCGTAGTTGGTTTTATCCCCTGCTCTTGTGTTTCAAGGTTTACTTTGGTTTTAGCATTGTAATCTTCAGCCCGGAGATAGGAGAAACCATGGAGGAAGAAATTAAAGATTTTTTTTTAATCTTAGAGCCGAGGTATAGTCTTAGAAGTATATTTTGTAAAGGCGATCCTAGACCAAAAATCAAGATTTAATAACAAGATCATTTCATTCTTGATTGTTAGAACACAACAGAACTCGATACATCTAAGGATCATAAACTTCGATCTAAAGATTATCTTAGGCTGATGAATTCAGATCTCAGAATCATGTATTCCAATCTCATGATCATATATCCTGATCTCAGAATAATACAATCCGATCTCAGAATAATAATTTTCGATCGTAAATTCCGATCTCAGGATCATGAATTGATTTCCGAATCATGAATTCAGATTTTAGGATCATGAATTCAGATCTTAGGATCATAAATTCCGATCTCAGGATTGTTTATCCCGATCTCAGGATTGTTAATCCCGGTCTCAGGATTGTTAATCCCGATCTCAGGATTGTTAATCCCGATCTCAGGATCATAAATTCCGATCTCCATGGGGTTTCATATGTCCGTAGAAGAATTAATATTGATTTCTAAGAGTGAACTCGGCACTGTTCATTTTTCACTTTAACTTCAGCTTCAGGAGACTTAACCTCCTTTAAGTTTAATTCTCCTTTCTGGGATTGTATTTTCGGACTAAACTCCTGAATTAGGAGTTTATATAGAACTGGGCGGAGATCTTTTGATGTCTAGCTCTTGACTGGAGGGAGGAAGAGGCTGGACTATACTCCCCCGGGCCCAGGGAGGAGGGAGGGGTGCCCCGCCTCCATTATATGAGTCCTCAAGGGAGGGAGGGGCGTGTCCTAATGAAGGATCATATTGAGAGTTTTCTAAACGTGTGATCAGTCGTTCATCCTCCTCACCAAACTCCCCTCCCATCAGACTGGGCTCACCTACCACCATCACATCCTAGATAGATAGATAGGAATTAGATAGATAAATAGATAGATAGATAGATAGATAGATAGATAGATAGATACCTGAGAGGCTAGGGAGAAGGTAGGGCGGGGAGAAACGCCCTTCTTGGACAAGGATTGGCCTGTAGCAGCCTGGGATCCCTTGCGCTTCCGCCGCTTATTCGTCGGTTTCGTCGTTTCTATAATAAAATAAAAAATAAAATAGAAAACTTGTTTCATTTGTTTTCATATTTTTTTTATATTTTAAAGCGATTGTGTTTGTACTTTCAAGTGACATTCCATATAACCAGAATATGTTCAATTCATAGCGGTACTCTTTCAATATTTATCTTTCAAAATATTGTAGCGACAGAACGTATAGAAACCCCTAGGTATAGCAACTAGGCGTATTTTGCGGGAGAATATTTTTTATATTTTAGAAAAATTTAACTTTTTTGTAAAACATTGTAGCTTATCATTATCATTATTATTATCATTATAACGCCCCTCTATTTATGAAGAGTAACTTTTTATTTACAGAAAACTGGATTTAACTTGAATTGAAACAAACTAAATAATTTTTCTCTCACTCGGTCGATATTTAATACTTTACTTTCTATAAATATCGAAATTCTTTTCGATAAGTTAACAAAATTACAAGCTTTGCTTTCTATTTTTACGCAGTTTTCAATAGTTATATAAAGGTTTAATGCGTCTCAGAGTGTCTGTCTATCAGAAACTAAGGATTCATGTCTTTTTATATTGAGGATTTGTATTCTGTATGTCTTTAATATCCGCCATTTATTTTTTGATTTACAGTCTTTATTACTTAAAGTTTATCTGTCTTTGTAATACCAAGTTATGCGTCTTTTAATATTAATTCATGGCTTGTACGTCTTTTGATATTCAAGGCGTGTCTATATTGTCTAATATGTTTATATTGTCTAGTATGTCTATATTGTCTAGTATGTCTATATTGTCTAGTATGCCTATATTGTNTCTTTTGATATTCATGGCTTGTGCGTCTTTTGATATTCATGGCTTGTGCGTCTTTTGATATTCATGGCTTGTGTTTTTTTATATTTTGAATCCAATATGTCTTTCATAATAAAGTTTATGAGTCTTTTAATTTTTATAGTTTTTGCGTCTTTCAATATTCATAGTGTTTGCGTCTATGAATATCTATTGATTCTCCGTCTTTAATATTGCTTTAGAATATTTAACAATTTTTGTAAGCCAACAAAAAGAAAAGTTTGACCCATCACAAGTATTAAAAAATCAAAAAAAAATAGAAGAAAAAATTAAATATTAGAAAATTTATAAAATATTGGAAAATAAAAAAAATTATTTCAAACCTTTGATGGATGAGATAACCTCACTGACTGTCATTTTTTAGAAAATTATTTTGAAAATCTGTTTCAAAAAATAAAGAAATTTAAAGAAATGTTGATTATTTTAAATCTTTATTGAATTCTTAGATTAAACCTAACCTCCTATTTAACCCCATTTTATTCCCCACCTCTAGAATATGTATTCCCCACCCGGCCTAACTGAATTCCCCACCCCCTCTGTGTAATTCCCCTTTTATATTTTCAGTAGAAATTATCCGAAAGCAATCAATCAATTGATCAATTAACGCCAACTAGAAGAAGAATAACAATAAACCAGAAGGGGAAGAGAATAGTATACAATATCATCTTTAGTAAATGTAATGTAAGAAAAGCATGTCGTGCAAAATGTATAAGTCAAAAATGAAGATCATAACCGGATGTTTATATAGTATAGTAATCCTTATAATGTTTTGCCCTCAACGCGCGTGTCCTTAATTGTCAATTGTCATGAAAATAATCCTGCTCTTCGATGGGATGAAAAAGAGCCACTTCCAAAAAGACGAAATAAATTCTTTCAATAATCCCTATATATCCTTCAAATATTTGAAATATGTATCCTTTAAATATTCCCAATTTATCCTTCAAATATTCCCAATACATCCTTCAAATATTTCCAATATATCTTCAAACATACCCAATGCATCCTTCAAAAATTCCCAATATCTCCTTCAAAATTCCCAATATGTCCTTGAATTATTCCCAATTTATCCTTCAAATATTCCCAATATATTCTTCAAATATTCCCAATATATCCTTCAAAAATTCCCAATATCTCCTTCAAATATTCCCAATATATCCTAGAATCATTCCAAATATATCCTTCAAATATTTCCAATTTATACTTCAAATATTCCAAATATCTCCTTCAAATATTCCCAATATCTCCTTGAATCATTCCTAATATAACCTTCAAATATTCCCAATTTATCATTCAAATATTCCCAATATATCCTTCAAATATTCCCAATATCCTACAAATATTACCGATTTATGCTTTAAATATTCCCAATATATCCTTCAAATATTCCCAATTTATCATTCAAATATTCCCAATATCTCCTTAAAATTCCCAATTTATCCTTCAAATATTTCCAATATATCCTTCAAATTTTCCCAATTTATCCTTCAAATATTCCCAACAAATCCTGCAGATATTCCCAATATATCCTTCAAATATTCCCAATGTATCCTTAAAAATTCTCAATTTATCCTTCAAATAATCCCAATGTATCCTTCAAATATTCCCAATATATATCCTTCAAATATTGCCAATTTATCCTTCAAATATTCCCAATATATCCTTGAAAGAACTGTCGCCACAATTTTAAATGATCGTTTATTTGAAGGCTGAATTACAAGAATATTTGAAGAATTGTATGTCCGAATTACAAGTATATTTGAAGAGTTGTATGCCCGAATTACAAGTATATTTGAAGAGTTGTATGTCCGAATTACAAGTATATTTGAAGAGTTGTATGTCCGAATTACAAGTATATTTGAAGAGTTGTATGTCCGAATTACAAGTATATTTGAAGAGTTGTATGTCCGAATTACAAGTATATTTGAAGAGTTGTATGTCCGAATTACAAGTATATTTGAAGAGTTGTATGTCCGAATTACAAGTATATTTGAAGAGTTGTATGTCCGAATTACAAGTATATTTGAAGAGTTGTATGTCCGAATTACAAGTATATTTGAAGAGTTGTATGTCCGAATTACAAGTATATTTGAAGAGTTGTATGTCCGAATTACAAGTATATTTGAAGAGTTGTATGTCCGAATTACAAGTATATTTGAAGAGTTGTATGTCCGAATTACAAGTATATTTGAAGAGTTGTATGTCCGAATTACAAGTATATTTGAAGAGTTGTATGTCCGAATTACAAGTATATTTGAAGAGTTGTATGTCCGAATTACAAGTATATTTGAAGAGTTGTATGTCCGAATTACAAGTATATTTGAAGAGTTGTATGTCCGAATTACAACCATATTTGAAGAGTTGTATGTCCGAATTACAACCGAACCTTTTAAACCTTCATCAGAGCAAAAATCATTAAGATATCCTAGTTTTTCTATCTGAAAAATGCAGCAGAGAAAATGAAGAAAATTTACATATTTTAAAATAGAAAACGACAATATCTTCCTCATTGTTGCTCAGATAAAGGTTTTACATTATTTTCCATTAAAAGTCCCTTAGATTTCCCAATATCTCCTGTTGTTCTTCTGAATATCTCCGAAATTTCCCAATATCCCTGTAGTTATCTAAATTTCTCCGAAATTTCCCAATATCCCCTGTAATTCTTCTGAATATCTCCGAAATTTCCAAATATCCCCTGTAATTCTTCTTAATATCTCCGAAATTTCCCAATATCCCCTGTAATTCTTCTGAATATCTCCGAAATTTCCCAATATCCACTGTAATATTTTTAATTTCCCAATATTTCTGCCAAATTAAAAAACATTCCCTCCCGAAAAATTTGAGATAATAGTCAGTGTACAGATGAACTAATGATGAAGTCTGGGATTACACTAAAATATCTTAGATTTATAACTATACTCCAGTGGATTAATAGAGCTGATTAAACACTTATCAAGCATTCATTATTTTTCATCTTAAATTTAAGTTTAATATGTGAAAAGTATGGAGGGGGGTAGAAGAGGGATAAAAGTTTGCAGGTTTGGCGTGAAGAATATCCATCCCTGTCTAGAGATAGAGTTTCATCCTTTGAAGATTCTCGATTTCAAAATAGAAGAAGAGAAAAATAACAATTCAGGAGAAGAAACTAGTTCAGATTTATGCAAAGTTTTATCAGCATTATAAATGCATTAATTTCATTATTCATAGAAATAATTTGATAATTCAAGGATTAGTTAAACCGTGCTTAGATAATTTTTATTAGGGTTTACCTATTTTTCTTGTATTTAATAAATACATAATTCCTTGCTGTACAAATAGGAATAGCAAGGATGGGCATCTTTTTTAAGAAATATCGAAATTAATAAAGAAAAAAAAGAGAAAAAATTCAAAATTTGAAACGAAGAACTAAACTGTAGTTTTACTTTTAATCCTTTTTTCCTTAGTAAATAAACAAATTACTTTAATTTTTCTAACTTTAGTATAACTATAAGTCAGTGCTAAGATGAAAAATTAATACGAAATAAAATTCCAAAATTTGAAACAAAGAACAAAGTAACAAACTATAGTTTAACTTTATAAACAGTCCCTTTCTGATCCTTTTATCATGAGTAAATCAGCAAGATTTGTTTTAAAATATTTCGAACTTAAGATAGGCATAAATTCCAGGACAAATTTTCAAAACTAACAAAACTTTTTTTTAAAGATCGTTTCGTTTCGGAATCTTTTACATTCATACAAAACGGTGAAAGTCGTTTTTTTAATTGAAAACAGTTCAGTGCCCATCCTTAATTACAAAATTATCCGTTAAATCAATCGTATTAGTTAAATTATTTTTAATTTTCAATAATCATGGTATTTTTCAGGTAAAATTATAATTGAATGATTGGACCTAATAGTTCATCAATATTGCTCCTGATATCTTTAAATAAATAAGTATATTAATAATCAAATCAATTATATATTCTTATTAAATTGTATTTAGTGGGTTGTAGAAAACTTTTGGCTTGTTGAATCAATCTAGTCGAGATTTAAAAAAATATTTAAGGATATTGGCCTTTTAGGGGGCTTCACAAGAATCTAAAAAGTCTTTTGTAGTTAAAAACATTATTTTTAATAGTTTTCTGTTATGAAATTATACAAAATATTGACTCTGACAGAAGACATAGGTCTGACTAAACCAACATACATTTAAAATATTTATAACAATTTGAAATTTGTCAACTTTGTTAAATTTAAAAGTCGATGAGGCTTAATTCTGACTATACAATCTATATAATAAAACAAGACATTCGTATATATATATGTTGTTTATAGCCGACCAAACAGCTGGACCGATTGGTCTGAAATTTTTTGTGGCCAGGGGGTGTTATATTTTTTTGTGTTCAAAATTTGTTTTCAAATTTTTTTTCCACGAACAACGCCGGGCCCTTCAGCTAGTACAGTCTATAATACGTGTCTTAATCTAGCCAAACCTTTATAAGATCAAATCTCAACTCGGTAAACTTTCCGGTTAGAAAAATTATTTTTACTTAAAAAAAGTCTACTTTAGTACACAATATTGAAGATCACGGCAAAAGTCCCAATATATATATACAAGATTTTTTTTATGTTGAAAAAAAATGTCAATTCCTCGTTTTTATGATCTGTGTACATAAACAAATATGGTCGCCATAGATTCCATGTTTTTCTCTAGAATACTGGGAACCTTTATTGCTCTCACAGGAGTATTCCTTTCACTATATAATATAAATTTGGATATTTTATAATATTAAATATTTGGATATTTTAAAATATTAAATATTTGGACATTATTCTACTCGATGTTTGAGGAAGTGCTAGCTTGATATCCATGTATTGTTTAAAACAAAACAAAGTATCATTAATACTTGATTTAATTCCGGTTAAGTGGAGTAGATTGAGGAATCACATTTTTACATTGTACACTGTACAGTGAGACTGTGGAATGGGAAGACGCCATTTAAGCATTTTTAATGTTTTTATAATGCAAGAAGTTTCATCATGAAATCTTGAAACCCAATTAATTAAGTGAAATGGGTCATTGGATACTGTGCAATGTGTTTCATGTTTAAGGACTATAAATTGAGTCCAAAAAATCGTCTTCAATTTCACTATGCGAGATTTTAATGATTTTAAAGAAATAAAATCATAGCTGTATGCTGTATGCTGTATGCTGTGTGCTGTATGCTGTATGCTGTATGCTGCATGCTGTATGCTGCATGCTGTATGCTGTATGCTGTATGCTGTATGCTGTATGCTGTATGCTGTTTGATAAGATTGCATTGAAGCCTGAAATCTGATATGTACTGACAGACTGCTCATCATTTTTATACTTACTTAAAAAGAAGTAAAATAATTTGACTTAATCTATGGCACAAACTTTAGGATTTGGTCAGCTAGGTCAATATTTGGCACTGTACAGGGTGTCCAAATAAACATGGAAATTAATTGGCGACTTATATCTCGTCTTTGTTCCGCGTGGTATTATTACGGAAACACAAATTTTTGTAGAAGTCCAGATTAATGAGTTAGTATTAAAGACTTGGGAATTCTAAAATGTGGTTACCCATATTTGCACCTTCAAAATCTGTCCAGAATCTATTTCATTAAATAACAACGATATCTTTCAAATGTTTAATATCTTTGTCAATTTTAAAGATACAAATAAGTTAGAAAATATTTTCAAGACCTCATGAGATGTTCAGTCTTTATTAAGACAATCTTTGTATTTATCAACTTTTAATAATCAAAGACGATTTTCAAGTAATCTCATAATTCCCATGTTTATTGGGACACATGGCCTTTACACAGATATTTTTTGTACAGCGGGACTCAGAAAACTATGGATTAAATGTGTGATCTTTATTATTTCTTTTACTTGAGAAATATTGCTGAGGATTTGTAATTTTTTTACTGTTAGATCTCTAAACATGTTGAGAAGTTACAACTGTGTGTATGTTATGAATCTGGGGATCTACTCCTTTTTATGAAGACTTTTAGTGCGGTCTTTTTCATATCCCGTGGCGGTCAATAACTTGATTTAGGGATCTCACATTGGATATCGAAATCAAGCAACCAAGATATATTAACGATACTCAGAGCAATTTTTTAGAGATAGTTCTGTTTCAAATTCCAAGAAGGAATATCACCACAACATATCATAACATGAATATTCCAAGAAGGAATATCACCACAACACATTTTAACATGAATATTCCAAGAAGGAGTATCACCACAACACATTTTAACATGAATATTCCAAGAAGGAATATCACCACAACACATTTTAACATGAATATTCCAAGAAGGAATATCACCACAACATATTTTAACATGAATATTCCAAGAAGGAGTATCATCACAACATATTTTAACATGAATATTCCAAGAAAGAGTATCACCACAACATATTTTAACATGGATATTTTCAAGTTTAAAATAAAACAGATTTTTAGAGAAACTTAGTGTAATAATTGTTTTTCATTTAAAAAAAATATTTATAAACTGTATTCTAAGATATAATATTTTGTACTCTGTCTCACAAGTTCATTATTTTTGTTATTAATCTCTTCACGTCTCTTAATCTTATGATATTTTTTCTCTTTAACATTCATTTCTCATTTCTCTTTCCTCAACTTACAAAACTTTTTTAAACAAAATACAAAATTACTGATTAAAAAACAATTATTTAAGTTGAGGTTTAAGTTCGAAAAAAAAACTTTGAATTTTAAGAAAGACGACTTACCAGGGGGCGCCACCATTTTCTGCCACTTTTGAAAGAGGGTCGTCTTTAAACAGTCCCGGGGATTGAGGGCATAGGCTTTATGTCTCGACATTAGTTCCTGCATGGGTTCCAGGATAACGCACAGCTAAACAAAATCTATCATTTTTTTGGGAAAAAAATTCGTCACAAGCGGAATAAATGAAGAAACATAAAGCTGCCCAATATAATGTCCCGGCTGTGAATATAATGTCCCGGCTATGAATATTATATTCCGGTGGGTCGCGGTGTGTAATTAAAACAACAAGTTCTATTAATTATTTATTAAATAAAACACAGGAATATACACGAAGTGTCAAAAAACTACAGATATTTTTGTTTAAAGGGGCGTTCAGTCTTATTTCAAGGGACCCTCGGTTTACAGAGCTCAATGCCCTTTTCACAGCGGTACCCGATAAACCTTTATCTGATCAAAAATGTTGAAGATATCGTCGTTTTTCTAGATTAAAAACTGTTTGATTCTAACAATTTCCTCTTTTGTTTCTGTAGCAATAACCCGTAATTGAGTTGTGTGGAGAAACCACATTTAAAAATATCGACTTTTTAAAAGGGGAAACCATGGATATCTCAGTCATTCTTGATCATAAAACTTTTATGGTTACCGTAGTGAATCGAAAATGCCAATATATAAATGAAGGGTCATTTGCAATGACGTGAACAGTCCCTTTAATATACCTGAACATTACATTAGGCAGCAGTTTACAAGTCAAGAAGTATATACCAAATATTCTGACACGTGAAATATTATCAAACAGTTCACTTCAAATTCATCAACAATTCGGGAAAATATTTCACGAACATGGAAAAAAATATTTATTGTTAAATGTTCTACAAAAAGTAAAATAAGAGTACTAAACTAAAGTGTTTTCTTTTGGAGGAAAAATAAAAGTTTATCTCATTTTGTGTATTTTACTAGACTGTTGGCTTAGAAATAAATGTTGGTATTTATCTAAAGAATATTCAGTATTTTAACAAAACTTTTCAACACTCTTTACAAACTTTATTTATGATGTTAAGAAAATTTTAGGTACATTTATAACTTAAAGCAAATCTGACAACGTAAGATTAAAATTGTTTGTTAATCGTTAAAGCTATGCCAATCTTAAATTTTTTTTTCACATAAAAATACACTTTTAGGAATATAAAAATGAGAGAATAGCCTCTAACGGATTAAATGGAAATTCATAATTATTTTTGATGATAAACTTTCAATTCTTTGTAGATTTATTAGATTTTAGCTTTAAATAGTTTATGGGTGAACTTCCTTCTCTATCTATTCACAAATGTTTCAAGAAGGGACGTGTATCAATTTTTAGACAAAGAAGTCAGTCGCCATTTTAATTGTCTTTTCGTGGATTCCCTCTAGAAATTATAATCCGGAGGAAATTCTATATCTGTCTGGTCCTGATGTGGTGGACCAATTGGGCCACCAGGTTGGCCAGGGTGGCTGGGTCCGAGATCTTCAATGTTAGCTTTCATCTCCTGCATGCTTACCCTGAGGTAGTTAAGTGTTGTAGCGGTGAGTCCTTGCCGCGTTATATTCTTTGACAAGGTTTCAACCATTCCCGGCTCCTTAAAAAACAAACACAAGGGGTCAAGGAAGAAATCAAATTAATTATTTGCAATTTTTCTTTTAAAAAAAGAATTGTTTTTGCCACATACTCTAATTTTTATCTCTAATTTTTATGTCGTAGACTTTTGGTTTTTCTTTTGATATTTTAAACAATGAATTCTGTCAGAATAAAGAGTTAGTTTTAAATATTAAATGTTTACACCACCAGCTTCCAAAGATATAGGAATTAGAGTTTTTGGCAAAACCTTGATTCTTATTGAGGGAGGAAAGGACAAAATTTGAAATCGAAACTGCGTTTCCGCCAAAAGCGATCTTCGCGCAATTTTTAGAAATTACTTGTTGTAGTATTGTGCTAGCATTTGCGTTTTTTGGATTATAGAAAAAATGTTGCGGATGGCTCCCCTCCCCATCCACGTTATTTTATTTTGTGTTCCGAGTTCTCACCTGCATCGCGATAACCGAGCGAGGGACGAGCTCTCTGTGGTTTCTGATTGCAAAATGCCAAGTTCGAATTCGCATCAAATCATCGAAATTAAATTCAACAATGAGACGCCCCTCCGTATACACCTAAACAAAACAAAAACCTTTTTTATTTCATCAATTCATGAATTAAAATAAATCATGGATGTTTTTGTACAGATATTAAAAAGTGTAAAATGGAATTTTGGTTTTTGGCTGAATCAAAAAGGGAGCAAACACAGCATTTATAATTTGGCCTTCTTTAAAATAGAAATAGAAAAGCTAGGAAAAAGACCCCCTCCAGACATAAGCAAGGGCCCAAATCTGAAATATCAAATTGCAAAAAAAACTTGGTAAATTGGTAAATTGATAAATTGATAAATTGATAAATTGATAAGTCGATCAATTGATAAATTGATAAATTGATAAATTGATAAGTTGATAAATTGATAAATTGATAAGTCGATCAATTGAAAAATTGAAAAATTGATAAATCGATAAGTCGATAAATTGATAAATTAATGAATTAATAAATTGATAAATTGATAAATTGATAAATTGATACATTGATAAATTGATAAATTGATAAATTGATAAATTGATAAATTGATAAATTGATAAATTAATAAATTGATAAATTGATAAATTGATAAATTGATAAATTGATAAATTGATAAATCGATAAATCGATAAATCGATAAATTGATAAATTAATAAATTGATAAATTGATAAATTGATAAATTGATAAATTGAATACCTTTGTAAACATTGGCTTCCCATGCTGGGTAACCATAGTAGCCTGATCACAGTCCAACGATACCGTAGCAGCATGCACACTTTCCTGTATAACATGCTACATGAAAATATAATTTTTAAAGCGCTTCACGCACATATTCGATGTTTACGTTTGATTGTTACCCTATCTGCGGCATTTACGGGTTTAACATTATGAAAAATCGTAATTGTTTTAGGACAAATTTTCTTAATTCTCACCAACCATGAAACCTTCATTGGATCAATTTACAAACTTATAAAAATTCCGAAAAGATACGTGGTAGCATTTCTTGCTCTAGAAAGGAAATCAAGCGCTCTAACTTGGAAAATGAGTTTCTCATTAAACTTTGAAATATTAAGGTTGAATATCTGAGGAAAAATGATTAAAGTTTGACAATTTTCTGTAAAATGATAAAAGAATGGGTAAATGATGTTTTAAAGACAGTCTAAATAATTGTATCATGGATTAACTATATTTTGCTCGCAATCAAACTGTCCTATTAAAAATCATTTATAATCATAATGATCGGATTTGATCACTAAGGTTGAAATTTTTTTTTGACTCGATTTTTTTAATTTGATTTTTAATAATAACACGGGCAACGCCGGGCTTTTCAGATAGTTAGTAATATGACCAACCTTCGCATGTCTGAGCTCCCAGTGTAAGTCTGTAACTCCTCCCTCGAATATACTTCGGAAAAATCGAGGTATTAAAGTTCGTCCTATACCTACAAATATTATATATTAAAGTTCGTCGTATACCTACAAATATTATATATTAAAGTTCGTCCTATTCCTACAAATATTATATATTAAAGTTCGTACTATACCTACAAATATTATATATTTAAGTTCGTCCTATACCTACAAATATTATAAATTAAAGTTCGTCCTATTCCTACAAATATTTTATATTAAAGTTCGTCCTATACCTACAAATATTATATATTAAAGTTCGTAGTTCGTCCTATACCTACAAATATTATATATTAAAGTTCGTCCTATTCCTACAAATATTATATATTAAAGTTCGTCCTATTCCTACAAATAAAGTTGCAAAGCTGTAGGGATTAGAAAATTAGAGACCGAGGCAATAGTTCAGTTCCTTTTTAAATATTGTTCTTCCAAAAAGTTCATTTAGAGTTCAAGGCAAATGTTCAATTCCTTTTTGAACATTTTTTTCCTTTTAAAAAGTTACTAAGGATATATGAACTCAGAAAGGAATTGAGTCTTTGCCAAAAACTCAAATTTTCTATTCCCTATATCTTTGCAACCTGATAGTGTAAACCTTTAATATTTGAAGTTAAGATTAATTCATCTTTCTGAATTCATAGTTTGAAATATCTAGATCCATGACATTGGATTACAAAGATATTGGGATTGCAAAATCAGCGTTTGTGGCAAAGACTCGATTTCTTTAGATATCAATGCAATTGCTCAGTCCCTTTTTAAACATTCTTTTCTTTCAAAAAGTTATTAAGGATATATGAATTTTAGACACGAAAACGATAAACCCAATAATCGTCCATGTTGTTGATTTTATAGTTTTTCAAATAAATTGTAGACTGGTTTTTAATAAAAAAAATCTCTTAAAATATTTGTTTAAATGCAATTAAGAGATCAATGTTCTGTTTAAAAATATTTTCACCATTTTAAGAACTTTTTTATGGCTTATGTTGTTTTTCGTTTAGAATATAATTAAATAATGAAAATTTAATTCCGCCCAATCGATAATACAATATAAACGGTTTAACTGCAAAGTTTGGAACAAGTTTTAAAATATAATTTTATAAAAGTGATTGAAAATATATTAATCGATTCGAATTGGTAGAATATGAACTTACAATATCGTTTGGGTCCATCTTCTAGACAGAACGTGAGGGTTAATTGAGCTTCATCCTAAAATAATAATAATAATAATAATAATAATAATAATAATAATAATAATAATAATAATAATAATAATAATAATAATAATAATAATAATAATAATAATAATAATAATAATAATAATAATAATAATAATAATAATAATAATAATAATAATAATAATAATAATAATAATAATAATAATAATAATAATAATAATAATAATAATAATAATAATAATAATAATAATAATAATAATAATAATAATAATAATAATAATAATAATAATAATAATAATAATAATAATAATAATAATAATAATAATAATAATAATAATAATAATAATAATAATAATAATAATAATAATAATAATAATAATAATAATAATAATAATAATAATAATAATAATAATAATAATAATAATAATAATAATAATAATAATAATAATAATAATAATAATAATAATAATAATAATAATAATAATAATAATAATAATAATAATAATAATAATAATAATAATAATAATAATAATAATAATAATAATAATNATTATTGGAGGGATCAGTCTATCGTTGATGATTAGACAAAGGTTTAAAGGGAACTATTATTGGAGGGATCAGTCTATCGTTGATGATTAGACAAAGGTTTAAAGGGAAACATTACTGGAGGGATCAGTCTATCGTTGATGATTAGACAAAGGTTTAAAGGGAACTATTATTGCCGGCTCACTTTAAATTAAGCCTTGAGTCTAATAGTTATAGTTGCTACAAAGCATCCTATATCATATTGGATTAACTTTAATTAATCTAACTGAATAGATTTAACATTTTAACCAATCATTCCCTTCACGTTGGAAAATATTACAAGATGATGTTAAACGATTCAATTTCAAAGAGTTTTAAATACACCATCTTTTCATTTGAATTTCAATCTATAGCAGAAAAAATGAGAAAACAAGCGTTAAAAAAATATTTTTTAATTTTTTGTTTCTTAACTTTTGTACTATGTCTAAAACAAAGTATTTAGAAACACGTTTTTTGCTGTTTGAAAATTATCATTTATATAATATTCGTGCTTTGAAATAAATGACGGGAAAAATAATAATAATGATAAAAAGAAGTCTAAGAATAAGAGGAGGCTAATAACCAGTTTCAATGACAGTTAATGAGGCTGAAGCACAAAGAAAGAAGGTTCCAGGACAAAGAAAGAAGGTTACAGGACAAAGAAAGAAGGTTACAGGACAAAGAAAGAAAGTTCCAGGACAAAGAAAGTAGGTAACAGGACAAAGAGAAAAGGTTACAGGACAAAGAAAGAAGGTTACAGAACAATAAAATTAGGTAACAGGACAAAGAAAGAAGGTTACAGAACAAAGAAAGAAGGTTACAGGGCAAAGAAAGAAGGTTACAGGACAAAGAAAGAAGGTTACAAGACAAAGAAAGTAGGTAACAGGGCAAAGAAAGAAGGTTACAGGACAAAGAAAGAAGGTTACAACTTACAGGACAAAGAAAGAAGGTTACAGGACAAAGAAAGAAGGTTACAGGACAAAGAAAAAAGGTTACAGGACAAAGAAAGAAGGTTACAGGACAGAGGAAGAAGGTTGCGGGAAAAAAGAAATAAGGTCACAAGGCAATGAAAAAAGGTTACAGGACAAAGAAAGAAGGTTACAGGACAAAGAGAGGTTAAAAAAACAACGAAAAAAGAAAAAAGGTATCAGAACAAAGAAAAAAGAAAGAAGGTTAAAGAACAAAGAAAAAATAAAAGTTCATGAGGGCAAAAAGATAGTTTAAGGATAAAAAGGATTTCAGAAAAAAATTAAGAAGATTTTTATCCTAATTACAATTACAATCATATTATACAAAACAAGATTTACAAGTTTAAAATACAATTTTCGACAACTTTGCATTAGATGGATGATAATTAGACCTTTAAAGCGTGACTGACCTGTCCATAAAGTGAGGTGGACCATGTGGTCCCATAGGTCCATGAGGCCCCATGGGTCCATGTGGAGGCCCGAATCCTGGACCATGCGGGGGTCCGAACCCGTGTGGTCCAGGAGGTCCAAGGAACTGGTGATGGGGTCCGGGTGGTCCACAATGTGGTGGTGGACCGTTAGGTCCCGGTCCACATGGACCGTTAGGTCCAGGACCAAAGGGGAAAGGTGGTCCCGAGGACCCAGGTCGAGGCGGTGACTGGCCTCGAAAATGACTAGAAGGAGGAGGTCCACAATTAGAGGGAGAATTTGGCACACCTGGTCCACAAGGACCCAGTCCATTAAACTGCGGCCCACCAGGACCAAAGGGAGGTCCCGACATTGGACCACAATTAGAGCTTGGAGGAGGTAGAAAATTTGAAGGTCCACAATTGTTCATAGGACCACAGGAGGAGATGGGGGCTGGTCCATTAGGTCCCATGATACATGGACCTGGTGTACTGGACCCGGAACCTGCAGACGGACTAGGTACAAACCCGTGTGGACCAGATCCTGGACCACAGGGAACAAGGGGAGGAGGTGGTCCGCCTCCGCCGTGTCCTGATGTGTTTGGTGGGCCGGGTGATGGCCCATGATAGTTTTGAGGGAACCCAGGGGTTCCAGGGCCCGGCAGGGTGGGGGTGCCAGGGCCCCCCGAGGGGGTGAACCCTGAGCTAAGGGACACCGTAGGCTCCCGGTACAGTTGCCCCTTCCAGGCTGCCACAGGCTCAGCTTCCAGTGTGGCAGTCACCTGGTAATAATAATAATATTATTGGAGGGATCAGTCTATCGTTGATGATTAGACAAAGACGAGGTTTTATAAAACTGTTTTATAAATAGGGTCAATTTATTTTTGTTTTCCTACCCCTCCCCCCATCCCCCCAACTAAATTCCTGGGTTTAATACAACTTTAGCTATACACTAATACACCATATTGATTATATAATAAGTATTGCAGGTCTAGATTGCTACTTAACTTATGATACAAATAAAAAAAACTTTTCATTACATAAGAAAATCTCAGCAGCAAGGCTTCTAAAAACTGTCCAGAATAAGAAATTTTAAATTGAAAACCTTTTTGTAATCAGATTCTTTTGCAAGCACATTTACCAAACTGAAGAAGCTATAATTCTCTCCTATCAATAGATATAAGATACCTGAGAAAAAGTGAACTATACATTTGAAACTATATACTTTAAAACACACAAATTCCACATTCAATTGTGTAAGCCTATCCGATACACCAGGAAAAGGATATTTTAGGGGGGGGGGAAGGATTAAATTCCGAGAGAGACCCCCCCCCCGCCCGCCCCCTCCCCTTTGATTGAATGACGTCAGAGGTATAAGATCGATATTGTAGACTCTATCCCCAGCTTTACTTTACCAGATAAACTTAAACATTTCACATCCCGAGAAGCCTACAGTGAGAACCAGAAAACTGTACTATTCTCCTCGTCTTCTCTTTTCAATTATAAAATATCGCAAGATTTTTGCAAGAATACCACAAACTCAAAAACCAAATATTCAATTTGAGGAAAACCTCAAAAAAGTATACGCTAAACAGTTAAGGCTGCAAGCTTTTACAAACAAATTAAAACATTTTTTCACCTATTTTCTTCATCTCCCAAACATACGTCTTTCATTCTTCCTTTTTCTTCTTTCCTTCCTTATCCATTCTTCCTTTTTAACTCTTTCATTTTTCCTTCTTTCCTCTTTATTACTTTGTCCTTTCCTCTTTTATTCATCCTTATTTCCTCCTTCTTTTTTCCTTTTTTATTCTTTCTTCTTCCCTCCTTCTTTTTTTCATTCTTTCTCCTTCCTTCTTCCATTTTCCCTTTTCATTTTTCCATCTTCATCCTTCTTTTTCATTCTTCCCTCTTTCCTCCTACATTCTTTCGTCTTTCTACTTCTTTTTTCGCTTTATCGTTTTTCATATTCTTTCTTTTATTTTCCTTTTTCCTCTTTCATTCATCTTTCTTCATTTCTTCGTAGTTATCTTTTTTTTATTTTTTCCCCTTTTCCTCCATCTTTTTCCCCCGTCTTTCCTTTTTAATTCTTCTTACTTCCTTCCTTCTTTCCTCTTCCATTCTTCCTTCTTTTTCTATCATCCTTCCTTCTTTAACCTTTCTTTCTTCTTTCCTTTTTCTTCCCCTTTCCTTTTTCTTCCTTCTTTTCTATTTTTTCCTTCTTTACTCTTTCATTCTTTCTTTCTACTTTCCTCTTTCTTTCTCCTTTTCTATTTCTTCCTCATTTCTCCTCTTAACTCCTTCTTAACTCTTTCTTCCTTCTTTCCTAATTCTTCCTTCTTTCCTCTTTTTTTCTTCTTTCCTCTTTCTTCCTTCTTTACTTTTTCTTTCTTCTTCCCTCTTTCTTCCTACTTTCCTCTTTCTTCCTTCTTTACTCTTTCTTTTTTTCTTTACTCTTTAATACAATACTTAGCTTAGCATTTTTTTTTCTTTGGGGGGGGGGGGGGAATAATCAAGTGAGTGCGCGCGCCAACCTCCCCCCCCCCCAGGAATTGTATACGAAGAATTTTGTCATTTTTATGTCAAACCCCTGACAAGCTGGGGGTGGGAAATGTGCTACCAAATTTTGGATTTTTATATATTCTATAGAACATCCTTCATTTTTGGATTTCTCTGACTAGGTACGTATTCCATAATTCCATGCTTCATAAAATCCGACTGCCTGTCTGTTGATATTCATAACAGCTGAACCGATCAGGTCACTAACATGACCCTAGGGACGCTTTATGCACAATCATAATAAAAAATGTTGCCCGGAAAAAATGTTGACATTTGTTATTTTTGAAAATGTAACGATTTGAGTAAACAAATAATCCGCGAAAAAAGCGCCATAAAAGCCTAATCTCTGTAAATTTGTTGTACTCTCTCTTTTCCTATATTTTTTTATTTTCAATATCTGTGATCTATTTTGATCTTTTTGTCTGTTTATTCAATTGATCAGTTCATCACTTGTTATTGTAAACGGAATCTTAACGGAATTTCAACAAAGTCTGAACGGTATATACGAAAATTCTCAACGGAATCTAAGTAGAATCTCAACGGAATTTGAAAAGAATATCAAAAGAATCTCAAAAGAACCTCAACGGAATCTTACGGTATCTCAAAGAATCTCAAAGAAATCTCAACGAAATATGAACGGAACTCAACGGAATATAAACGATTCATCTCAATGGAATTTGAATGGAATCTCAGTGGATTTTGTTTTCGGAGAAATATCATCCTCTGTCATGCTGTGATTTAAAAAAAAATTTTTAAATGAATATGATGCTAACATAAGGGGCTTTTATTGGCATTTTTACATTACAAAATCTCGTGCGTTTTTGCTTTCATAAATATGTTAATTTGAATGGACCTATAACCCCCCTAGGGGTCCCTATTCATATACCCCCTGGTGGTCCCTATTCAACGTATTCATGTTTATATATATAATATATATGTCCCTATTCATATGTCTATGTGTTCCATATAATATTTGATTTAGGGCAAGGGGTGTTTTCTATTTGATATTCTACACAGGGTGTCAAAAATAAAAATTGTTTTGTTTCACATATTTTTTAAATTAATTATGTTTATAAAATGCTAACCTTTCCCTTATCTCTTTAAAGAGCCAGTCAACGTTATTCAAAGGGTTTTACTATTAAAGAATGCCCCTTTAAACCTTTAACGACGGTGTTTAACAATTTTCTGATTTTATATCTTTGCAACCCAATATTGTAGACCCCAGATATGACAGACTATAAATTCTGTTAGTTCAAATAAGCATAGTTTAAAGTATCAAAGATTTTTGTCATCAGAGTCCGAGTTTAATGATTTTGAGCCGCGTCTTAAATCCGCCAAAACCCGGTTTCAATTGAGCGCCGGCTTAAATCTTGAAACATTGAATACAATTTTAAGTGGAACCAACCAAATTTGAGCCGCGGCTTAAATTACAGCTGCGGCTCAAATTCTTAAAATTCTGCCTCAGGTTAGAAAATCAGAGTTTGATTCAATTCTTTGCGACCATTTCTTGCTTGAAGACCAAGAAATCTCTGTTATATTAGAAATCCATAATTACTCAAACTTCTATCAGGAATTTTGTTCCGATCAGTTTTCATATTTCCGTGACACACATTTAGATAGATACTGTTTGATTTATTAATGTACAAGCTTGCAGCAAACATATGTTAATTTACAGATCACTAGATAACAATCTCAGATAGAAAAAATAAATTGTAAAACTAAAAGTATAAAATTAAAATAAAGGAACTAAAACATTGTGTTGTATCATATTTCTATTAAATATAAACCATTTCAATATTATTACATCATATTTGTTATTGCTATGTAAAATACCATTCAACGTTTACAAATGTTTTTAACCCAATAAAAAGTTTTAATTTTAAAATTCACAAACTTGACACACCTAGCTATAAATCTATTTTTAAAGGGGAGTGAAATTAATTATTTAAATATTGAGGATCTAGGAGCTGGGAAGGTATGGAAAATTATTTTTATGCTGAAAGGAATTGAGTTTTTGCCACAAACTCAAATTTTCTGATACCAATATCTTTGCGACCTGATGGTGTAAACCTTTGACATGGGGTTGTTAAAATATAAGGATTGAAATTAGAGTTTGTGGCAGAGACTCAATTCCTTTGGTCTGCCAATTAGAGATTATGGAAAATTAATCTCTCATTTTTCATCACTTGGTGCTTAGAACAATAAGTTCTTTATGTTAATTAGGCAAAAATTGGTGATTTTACGTACTACATAACATACTTATCATTTAGTTATTACTTTATAATTATTCTTTATATTTTGAGATTTGGATCCACTTGTGAATTATGGTTCATATATTTCCATTTGGTGATATTATGCCATTTGGATCCACATTTGGATTATGGTTCATATATTGTGATTTGGATCCAAATGTGGATTATGTTTTATTTTTGTCATTTGGTTCGCCATGCGGAATATAGTTGATAATTTGCCATTTGGTTCTACATGTGAATTATGGTTGATAATTTGTTATTTGGTTCCACATGTGGATTATGGTTTTTATTTTGTCATTTGGATCCACATGTGGATTATGGTTTATATTTTGTCATTTGGTTTCACATGTGGATTATGGTTTATATTGTGTCATTTGGTTCCGCCTTTGGATTATGGTTCATATATTGTGATTTGGATCCACATGTGGATTATGGTTGGTATTTTTCCACTTGGAGCCCACATGTGGATTGTGGTTGATATTGTGCCATTTGGATCCGCATGCGGATTATGGTTTATATTTTTCCCTTTGGATCCACATACGGAGTATAGTTAATAATTTGCCATTTGGATCCACATGTTGCATTATGGTTTATATTTTGCTATTTGGATCCACATGAGGATTTCGGTCCATAATATTGTGGATCCAATGGAACCGAATCCAAAGCAATGTTAATATGAAATTAGGAGGTAAGATGAGGTATATTAGTGTTGTGTGTATGTGACTGACTTATTCATCATTTTGACGAAATATTTGGGAATATATTCAAGGAATGCAGGAGATGTCATGCTGGGCTCTCTACCTTTACCAATACGTTCATCTTATTAACCCATCTCTACATATGTGTACCATCCCAAAACCTTTACCACGATATATTTCTCTCCCAAAACCTTTCCCAATGTACATTTTTTTCCCAAAACCTGTCCTTCCATATTTTTCTCCCAAAATCTCTTCCACTATATATTTCTTTCCAAAAACCTGTCCCACCATATATTTCTCTCCCAAAACTTTTACCATTGTATATTTCTTTCCCAAAACCTGTCCCTCCATATATTTATCTCCCAAAACCTGTCCCTGCATATATTTCTTTCCCAAAACCTGTCCCACCATAAATTTTTCTCCCAAAACCTGTCCCACTATATATTTCTTTCCCAAAACCTGTCCCACTATATATTTCTCTCCCAAAACCTGTCCCACCATATATTTCTTTCCCAAAACCTGTCCCACTATATATTTCTTTCCCGAAACCTTTCCCACCATATATTTCTCTCCGAAAATCTGTCCCACCATATATTTCTCTCCCAAAACCTGTCCCACCATATATTTCTTTCCCAAAACCTGTCCCACCATATATTTCTCTCCCAAAACCTGTCCCACCATATATTTCTTTCCCAAAACCTGTCCTTCCATATATTTCTCTCCCAAAACCTGTCCCACCATATATTTCTCTCCCAAAACCTGTCCCTGCATATATTTCTTTCCCAAAACCTGTCCCACCATATATTTTTCTCCCAAAACCTGTCCCACTATATATTTCTTTCCCAAAACCTGTCCCACTATATATTTCTCTCCCAAAACCTATCCCACCATATATTTCTTTCCCAAAACCTGTCCCACTATATATTTCTTTCCCAAAACCTTTCCCACCATATATTTCTCTCCCAAAATCTGTCCCACCATATATTTCTTTCCCAAAACCTGTCCCACCATCTATTTATTTCCCAAAACCTGTCCCACTATATATTTCTTTCCCAAAACCTTTCCCACCATATATTTCTATCCCAAAACCTATCCCAACATATATTTCTTTCCCAAAACCGTTCCCACCACCATATATTTCTCTCCCAAAAGCTTTCCCCGTATATATTTCTTTCCCAAAACCTTTCCCACCCTATGTTTCTTTCCTTAATCTACTAATTTTTTCTGAAGTTAAGAATATAAAAATAAATCCTTATTATTCTTTTTCGAAAACCAAAACTAAAGCTATATCCTTCTTCCTAAAACCATATCCTTCTTCCTAAAACCATATCCTTCTTCCTAAAACCATATCCTTCTTCCTAAAACCATATCCTTCTTCCTAAAACCATATCCTTCTTTCTAAAACCATATCCTTCTTCCTAATACCATTTCCTTCTTCTTAAAACCATATCCTTCTTCCTAAAAACATATTCTTCTTCCTAAAACCATATCCTTCTTCCTAAAAATCTTTCCTTACTCTTAATCTATCGTTCATTCCTAATCATATTTTGTATTCTGAAATATTTTTAATTATTCAAAAATTTTACCCTTTCCCTTCCAATAATCATAAAATATTGTTCATCAATACTCTTTTTAGAAATGCTCTTTATATCATTTATCAATTCCTTATTTAATAAATATACTTGGCTTGCTATACCTCATGCAAAAATTTGTCAAAAAAGTCTTTTTTATTTCAAATTTTTCTTAAAATAATTCACTAATCTTTTTGGAAATAGTAAAATGTTTTATAATTGGGAATATATGTTTGTATGTATTACTAGGCTTTTAGTCAATCTTATACTTCTGTTCAATTGCGAACATGTTCTCCTTAAATACATTGTTAAACAAAAAATTTGCGGACTTTATAACAAAAAAATTTCGTGGATTCTCAAAATTTTCAAAAATCGAATTTTGATAGAGGGAAATTTTTGAAAATTAGATCATCCACAAACCTTCTCTGGGGTCACACGAGGCCCCACAAAAATTTGGGCCGAACAGTTTAGCCGTTTTGACGTTTATTGGATACAAACAGACAGATAAGCAAATATATATATATATATAGATGTGTAAAAGAAATGTCAACGAAAATTTAAAAAGGGAAATGAGGAAATTAGACGAGCAAAGAATGGTAAAACAGAAAAAAAACATATAGAGGCAAAAAAAAATAAATGAAATCGATATATTTGGTAACAATTAAGCATTCATATTTTGCAAATAGTAACGCAAAGTTATTTATTAAAAACTTAATTATTAGATTATTAATTATCAAACTTAATTTTAAATTCTGTGTGTGTCTAATAAACGTAACATTATAATATATATATATATAATTTCATCTTTCATCAACTGTAACAGAAATAAATTCAAACACAATAAAAAAATTTTAACATAATCGTATTATGAGATGATTCATATTTATAAAACCAAATCTCGATAATCTAAATAATAAAATAAACAAAAACGCTAATAATACTTAACATATATAATTTTTTAGAAAAACTTACCGTGAGTAATTATTTTTAATTTTTTAAATTAAAATTTATCTCATATTTAAATAACTTATATCACAGTTATATCATATTTCTTATCACACCGGTCATTACAAAATAATCACCAAAGTTTGTGTACGAATTCACTAAATGTATGCAATATACTCCCCACCATGTAAAGTCCTGTTCAGTACTGTTTAATGGTTATGCTAAATGGTTATGGTATGGTTTGGTGTGGACTGGTACCGACCCGTCTGTTTGGGCATGTTGCAACTATTATAATACTCATATCAATAAAAACAAATAAAACTAATCTTTAGGGAACATTTTTTTAAATAAAGGTATAATAAAATCAAAGAATAGATGTCTAAAATAGACTTTAAAAATTTCATAACTTCTTTTTCTTATGATTTTTTGCCTAAAAGTCTGAAAGGGAAAAAAATATTTACTCGTATTTTTCTACGATCTATTCTATTTCTATAATATAGGAAACCTGATTTTATGCGGCTTTTTCAATCTGAAATATGACTCCGTCATTGATATTCAGTTTGTTTTGATTTGATGATATAAAAGTTGTCAATATTCCATGCTAATTGTTTTTATGAGAAAAGTACAACAACAAATTCTTTTAATATCAGCCATATTTTATAATTACACTTTCAGGTTGAAGATAGATAGAGTAGATAGAAATAAAATATTTTCCACAATTCTCTATTTCTAAAACATTGTTCATTTTCATGAAATGAAAAACAAAAATCATCATAAAAGATATATATGTGTATCACTAAAACTTCCCCAGAAAGGGTCTTGTTCATTTGGCGTATTGTCTCTGATCTTGGGTTGCCTTATAGTCTGTATGTGTACTGTACTACAGTACAATAGTATATATTTATAACTCTTTGTTTCCATATCTTTTGTTGCACTAAAACAGTTTTAAATATAATATGAACGCATAAATTGTGAGTTAAAGCAATTGTTTTAATTGCATGATCGAGCAAATCCAGCATTGATCTTGATGTCCACTGTACAAGGGTTCCCAAATTATGATCTCAGGTAAAATTTCTAGATAATTCCATTTTAGGAATGTATTTTTGAAATCAAAACCCTTCATGGATCGCTTGAGCTCTTTACAGAGATAATAAAGTAAAGTGATCTATTAAAGGCTGGAAAATGCAATATTTTTGACAGTTGGTTTCATTGAGTACAACTGGAGTACAGTACCAATAAACAGATGTCTGAATTCAGAGATATTAAAGGATACAAATACAAAACCTTCAAAAATAAACTAAATTCATAATTTTTATGTTTTATGTTAAAAGTAAGAGTATTCTTTAAAAATGTAAAACTTAACCACTGAATGCCGTGGGTATTACTATGCAATGCTGCAATATGCTGTTAGATGGCAGTCAAAAACCTTTTGTGGAAATTTAGCATATCATGTCGGTTCAACTTTAGGCCTGCATAGCCCTCCCAAAAGACCAGATAAAAAGTCTGTGCCTCTTTTAAAATAATACATTTCAATCCAAAAAGAACAAGATCTAAAGATTAAAACATTGTAAATCCCTTTACACAAGTTCTAAACTTCTTAGGTTATTGTGTGCCGTGGTTTTATTTTTAATCCTGTCTGTCTGAGTCTAAAACTAAAGAATGTGCGAATTTTAAGTTTGAGGTTAAAAGTTCTGTAAAATAATGAATAGCTACTTAAATATTAAACTTTCTCAATTTTAAATTTGAATTTCCCAGGAAAAATCTGAACCAATCAGAGAAAAGGATTTAAAGAATTATTACGTAAGTATCGGTATTCAGTAATCAGCTGTTTTTTAAATTTTAAATTATTTTATTAGTGACGGAAAACAAAACATATTTCCAGTTACAACCGTATTTTAGGTTTACGTGCAAACATTAATTAATCTAAAACGTGAAATTTTGTTAAATCAAGGTTTTTACTTTGAAATATATCGTAATTAGTTGAATGCCGCTTAGCGCTAAATGATGATAGACAAATAGGGATTGCGGGATTTCAAGATTTTAACCCTGTGTTTAAATTTTAACTCATCGATTTCAGCGAGTTAAATATTTAACCACAGGGTTAAATATTTAACCTCACGGTTAAAGTTCAGGTTTAAATTAAGTCAGAAGTGGCATTTAACCATGAACTTAAAATTTAAGTCAAAACTTTTCGTTCTTTAGTTTTAGACTCAGGATAAGAGAATTACTGTAGTCCAACTCCAAAATCCGCCAAATAGAAATCAAACCAAAATGCATTTGTTGCAATCTGCCAGTTCCCATCTGAGACATCCGAACCAGTACAAAAACCCGGTCGGAGCGGTACATTATGCACCGGCCGGCACAAACAGCAATCGATGCTACAATCTGGGTGCTCGGGAGGCCCCTTCCTCTTTTCTCTCTTTCTCGCTCTCTCCTCCCTTCTTTCTCTTTCTCTGTAGCTTTTATTGATTTTACATCCAACGCTAGCCGAGAAGTTAATACAGATTTTTATGTTCTGACCCAGGCGGGCGAAACCCGGGTGTTTAAAGTTTGATTGTGGGGGGAGGGGAATTGACAGATGACATATAGGGGCGCGGTGGAAGGGGGGATTTAAAAGTTTTCAAGGTTTGTTACCGGAGGAATGATGTGATACCGTAGGGACGACAACTTTTAGCTTAAATTGCTGAGGGGGTCAAACATCTATTTAACATTTATCAACCTTTTAAACTTGAAATTAGTTCTGTATGCACGTAAAATTTAAGTTAATAACTTTAATAAAAAAGCCGTCTTCTTTCAATCATAATATAATCGCCATTCTGTATCTTAAATTTTGGCTGACGTTCTTTCAGTTATATAAAGCATTGTACAATTATATGTAAGATTGAAAATTGCTTGGAAACATGAAACAAAAAGTATACAGTTGGATTAATTAATGGAAAGAAATTAAGTTTATGCCACAAACTCAGATTTTCTAATATATATATATCAATGCAAGTAGTAAATGCCGTACTTTTAAAAGTTCGTCCCCCAAACTGTATCTTAATCCAGGCACAACCAGTACGCTATCCAAGTCAACTAGGCCACAACCTACCATGGCTCCAAATGCCACACAAGTCGACACAATTCGTATCTTATCAATCTAGCTACCACTCAGGCTCTAAATGCCACACAAAGACACAAGCATAGGCTACTTATCCAGCTCTTCTCTAACTCTAAATGCCCCACAAGGACAAAAGCATTGGCTACTTATGCAGTTCTTCTCTAACTCTAAATGCCCAACAAGGA